CGCGAAAAACAACGCAGTGGTGGTTTTAATGTAAGGCAGTCGTATCACTCTATTTGAGCTGATCTATTCGTGATGACCCACACTTACAAGACTAACTTTGACTGTTGTGTTCTTAATTGTATCTATCTAAAACCACGACTAGGCCTTACCTACTAATATATTGGGACGTAAATACTGTGTAAACTTAACATAGGTATCTGTGATTCATTATTCTTACAAACGTCATCTCAATATAATGTGTACCAAGTTACCTATAGTTTGACTCCAGTCATTACAATGAATTATGAAATCTTAGTGAAGTAAGCTGATGTTTCTGTTTCTGTTATCATTTTGTTCATTGATCATTCAAAGGATAATGCGCCTATGTACCTTTGCCTTTAATAATATTTTCCTTTATGTGTTGTACATAAATAAATAAATAAATAATCAAGATAGTCTTTTAAGTAGGTTATTATTCATTCCTTTTAGTCATATAAGTAGATCACACGATACCGTATCTAAGCTCTGGAATCGTGAATCAGAAAAACATGAATTCCTTTTTGTGCGATTGTTTTTTTTTTATTAACGAAGTCAAAACGTTTCAATATGTTCAAAATTTAAATAACCACTTACTATTGGAGTTACACGGGTACTACATTTTTTTAAACATAGTTACTTGGTTATCGTCACAGAACAATAAAAGTTAATAGGTACAAGCAGGTCCCTCAACCAGATGAAATGTTCGTTCGTCTCCGTTTCGCCACCGCTCAGCACTCCAGCGCAGGTCCAATTCAAACGACAGTCATTGTGATGCAACCGCGCCAGCGTGAGAGCACGCTGCACGTCTAAATGGACCGACGGTAATCTAAATATTAGTATAAGTATACCATTGTTGGCATGTTGCTCATCAGGCCTTAAAACCGTATATTAACGCGCTGTACTGTGGAGTATTAAAACATTGTTTCATGATGACTATGAATTTGCTTTGTAATGGCCGCATTTGGTGGCGACTAGTGTAGTGGCGTGGCGCTAGTTTGTTTTTTTTTTTGTTATTTGATAAATTCTTTCTCCATTTTAACGTGAACACGATAAAAGGATTTTTCTCAAAACACATTCTCATTGTCATACATAACCATCTTAGATATGTGTTCTCAAAAGGAGTACCTAGGTACATTCAAAACTATCAGTATTTCTACTAATAATGATATGTATATGAGGAGGTCATCGAACTCGGAAACCCCAAGAGTGTGTTCTTGGGTAAATTGACAAATAATATCCGAAAATAAGGCAAAAAAATGTTATTAACAACCTTAACACATAGTATTCCAATATGACAAGAAGCCAGCAGACCATTATTCATGAGAAAATTACCAATGGTTACGTAAACGAAGTGAAGAACAAAAACATCTTTCACCAGCGCTAGCTCAGTCACTAGGTAATCGATCGACCTATCCAGTGCCCATACCCACCCACTTAGCAAGTTGTAAATAACTTTTATTATGTCATTCCATAACACTTCGGTATGGCAGATTATATAACGTAAAGGTAATTATTATGTGACCTCCATAGAAATAATGCGTCGAACAAGTAGCAACAGTATCTAGTAACATTTTTTGAGGGTGGGAAATGAATTCTCTTACCCTGGGTAGGGTGCAAGGAAGCGTCAGACTCTTACTGACTAAAACCACCTCTTTCCTTCTGCTACAGGTCGAGGCCGCGGTACGTTTTTGCGCTTGATATCTATCAGCCCTGTTGAACCCTATCTGTATTGGTCTGTTGGCTCATTTTACTTACGTCTGTGCGCTCGGGTCTGGCATAGGTCGAGTGGCGAGCTATCGTTACTCGCATAGAGAAATTAACCCTGGTTCTTTTCTCTATGGTTGCTCGCCATCCGCAGACGCGCGTTTGCAGTGGCTAGAAATCGACGCTCAATCCCCGATACCCGTAGTGTTGCCTACTGCGGCGGCTAGGGCATAAGAAGGATAGTTCCCACACGCTATACGCCTTCTTCTTTGCTTTAAATCACTGCTTTTCTCTAAAACTTCTCAGATTTGAAAGATTGGAATGACACTTTATAAGTAGGTACTTATTTTAAATACCAGTAGCTATCTTTATAAATATGAATGTTTTGAATTTCCAAGTTAAGAACCTTGGTTCTAACTATTTACTTCAGAGGTTCAAGGGCTATAAGCTGCCACAATAATTGAAACAGTTATAAAATAAAGAGGTATTATGCACATTTAAGCCATTATTTATGAATGAAATATGCCGTGACCACACGCGAATCAGACATCAAGCAATTTTGACTTGTATTTTTATGAATGTCCTTTGACAGTTTAACTGTTATGTTTGTGTAACTACAAATTAGCTGTAAGCTATTGTTGAGTAGGAGTCTAAGGGCCTAGCGTGATTACGCTCACATTGGGAATTGCACAAATTCTTAATAACTAACACCGAATTGTCGTCTGCCATTTTGTTATTAAAGTTTGTATATTGCAATATTACCTACTGAAAACAAAAATTATACATAATTCCTTGTCTGACCGAGGTATATTAAGTAGGAATATACCTAAGAGAGCTTTGCCTGCCTATATCGATATATGAATTCAAGTTATAGGCCCGATACAAATGACTTCTGACATAACAGTGTCCTAGAAGTAAGAGGAAGTAGTTCATATTATCTGACACCTTAATGGGCTTTTAATCAGTCACTGCCTGGACTCGCTGAGTATTGTGACAGTCCTCTTAAAATGCAGTGCTGGTAAAGTACCTATATGTTGGTATTTATTTGCCAATCTATCGTATTAGTCTAAGGCTTAGACTAATACGATAGATAACTGACTACTGACTGATGAAGACTGTTCATTAGTGCTTAGACTCTAAGCACTAATGAACAGACTAAGCCTTAATTTTTTCAATAAAGAAGCTTAGATGCAAGATGCAACCTCAAGAAATCGAATAAAATTTTCGTTTCATTCAAATTCCGAGTTTCTTAATGATAAGTACCTATATGAGCCTACTGTAGCAACAAAATTCACCAAAATAAATCAATGAACGAAGAACCGACTTAGACAGTGATTTGCAGATTGCCTTCATACTGTAAGGTTTAGTTATATTTCAAACTCTGTACCTGTATTTAATTTTATATTTCTTATTAGTAAAAAGAAGTTGCTAAAGTGACATCACCACACGAAATAATTTCTAAAATGGCGGGATAATGTAATTTATGGTTGTAAGCAGCTGCTATAGCAACACGGGGAAAATGGCGGGAATTCGGGTCGAGTGTCGAGCTCACAGAACCGTACGATTGGGATAGCGATATTTTAAAATAAATAAATGTTGATTGTTTAATGGGACGTCTTGGCGTTTCCTTTGGAGTGAAGTCTATAATATCTATCTAAATCAAATTTACATTGACGTGTTTTGTTTTTCAGATGTCATCAATCACAGTTTTCAAGAGCACATTCAGCGCACTATTGTTAGTACAACTAGCAGTGCAAGTGTCGGCGGGAACGAAGTTCGCTTCTCACGTCAGCATAAATACACCTGCGCGGAGCTTCACGCACGGGGTCGGTGACCCCCTGCCATTGCTCGCAAAGCGAAATTATAACCGACAATCATCCTTCCGAAGCTTACCGCGTAAGTAGAATAGAACATTAACTATAGTAACTAGGTACGTAAGTATAGGTATATTAAGCACCTACCGTAGGTACATGAATAAGAATTCATTCAATGGTTCAATGTGGTTAACATTAAGTAAGTATGATTTGTGAGCTAAGAACTAAGATACCGAGGTGCTTATGGAGGGGAGGGATATAGGACTCTAATTGTTAATTTCTAATGGGTACGAAGACCAAGCTTCAAACCAAAAAAAGGGTCATATTTTGGTTTGCAGCTTGGTCTACAGCACTTGCAAACAGATATAATATTTAAAGTTAATTCTTGAAAGAAAGTAAAAACAAACAATCGTGTTACTTAATGAAACTAAGTACCTACCTATTACAACGTTTATGTCATAAACTATATACCCAAAGAAGATAACTGTTTGGTAGGTAGGTAGGAACATGTTTTCAATGGTTGGGGAAACTTGATAGCTAAATATTGCAAGTCATCCTGACGGACGATAGCTAAATGTCATTTCGCGTGAACTTTTATACTTATTTGACATTAATTTACTCCTTGTTATGTGAGCACTTTCCACTCGCACTGGAGATATGTAGATAATAGTAACTAACTAGGTAGGTATATTTTCTTCTGTGTCTTAGACAACATGATTTGAACCCTACAAATGTTATGTATGAAATGACTTTTTAAGTTACTTCGGGCACTTAATTATGGACAAATACAGTTAATAGAAAAACAACCAAACTACACCGATAAAGAGTGTAGGTACCTATCTAGGTACCTAAGATACGAAAAATAATAATACTGCCAATTGAAACTTTTTCTGCCAGAACCTTAAGTAGGTTAGGTACAAGAAAAGTCGATTACCCTGAGATGAGTAGGGGAAACAACGTTATAATCCATCCAAGTTCGAAGTTAAAAGAAGAAAAGTGCTAGGATTTGATACCTAGTTGATGATAAGGTTCAAATTAAAATAGGTAAGTACCTACTTACTTAGGAATCATCGACACAGTTCAAAAACTAGGTAAAAAAAGAAACAAAGACCGCAAGACGAGAGCAATTTCTCTAACTCCCATGACCCTGGAATAAACATTAATTGAATCCTGAAAAACAAGAAGAATACAAAAAACATTTAAAAAAGAAGTTTTGGACTATGTGTGTAGCTGTGTAGTACCTATATCTTGGCCAAGGTAAGGCACCAAAGACCGAACTACCAAAAAAAAACATACTTATGAAAAATGCAGTTGCTTCAGAAGACCTTAATAGTCAGATGTCTTTGAAAAGGTAACCCTTATTCATCTCTTATACTCTCATACCGTACTTACCTAACTTAAGGGAGTGAGATATGGTCACTTAAAAAATCGCTCCGAGAAAGACTTGCCAAATGTCAATGAGGAATGGAAGAAGAGAAGCTCAAGGACTGTCTCTTTGAGCTTCATTATAGAGCCAAGAACATATGTAAGTAGATCTCCGATCAAATACCAAACTGACTAACTTATTTTCTGACAAGAATCGATCAACAAACAATGACAGAGTGATAGCTATCCAAAAGACGGCAAACTCGGCAAAGGAAAACGGGGAAAGCAGCCTACGCGTTGGGAGAAAGAAATAAAGCTGACAGCAGGTCCAAACTGTAGAAGAATAGTACGTACCTTACGACGGACGTCAATAGCAATTGTTAGAAGAGGCCTTTGCTATATGAGTCACATTTACCAATAAGTACCTAGACACTTTAAACGAGTAAAAGTGAAGTGTATGTACAAGGGTCACCACTAATAGAAAAAGCCATCCAAAACGTAACCAGTATTAATAGTACCTACTTACATGTCACTTCTTCTTTTTCAGCTCCCCCACCGCCTCGTGGGCCAGGATACCCGCGAGTGAGACCGACGATTCCATTCAGCAACGAAGATCATTTCCGCGATAACTCACTTAATGGATCACCCTGGCAGCACAACAATTATATGGGTACCTATGATAAGATAAGAGGCCTGTTCTTAAAGTGTTAGATTGGATTAGGTACTCTTCTCAAAGGGTTATACATATAGTTCTTAGCGTGTCCTGTTTCAGCCGGGGTTGCGGGGCAAGCGCAATGAGGCACCGCGGCCCCGGCCCTGAGCAGGAGAAGGAACAAAGAGTTTTTGGTCAGTAGGTCTGACACTCCCTCCCGCCCGACACTGGGCGGTTATTTGATGATCTATAGAGCCTGTTGAAAAACAATTTTCAATAAAACTTGTTGGCCAAGGAATCAAACTTGAAACCTTATAATCGAATTTATACGGTAACATTCAAGTTACGAAAAAATACACAAATTAAAGTAAGTTGGTTGTATAGAAGTTTACCTACTTATACCTAATGAGGTTATAAGGCTAATAATAGGCTATGTTGTCTAAACGGGATTAGATACGACACCTAAAATCTACTCAATATTATATTAAGTTACTTACATTATTTTTAGGACGTTTTCTGTGAGGGGAAAAGCATCAAATGAAGGAGGGAGTGTCAGACTTTTACTGACTAAAAACGCCCCCGTTCCTTTTCCTGCTCTGGGCCGAGTCTGCTGACTCATTGCGCTTATCCCGCAACCCCGGCTGAACATCAGCCGTCTGTGGAGTAGTCGTGGCTTGCAGTCTTTAACCAACAGTTCAATGACGGCTGTCAGTTCACACTTTCAAAATGTTTTTCTTCCAGATGTTACAATCCCCGTACTCCCACCTTCACCGTACAAAGTAGACTCACCCGACCCAGAGTCGCTGTGGCCCGAAGGACTGTTCATACCACCGTTCAACCCGCCAAGGTTTGCTGCTAGTAAACGCCGCAACGAGGTATTATCAGGTAGGTAAAATATTTCTCGGCTAAGCCTTCCAGAGGTCAGTTTCAAAGCGTTTTCTCGCCCTTTGTTCTTGTTCTTTTTTTGTGTCGTAAGTACAATCATATACAATTCACACCTAAATTCTAAACAACAATTGTCATAAATGGTTGGTTGTCCATTGCTTCCACACGTCTCCACACAAAACATGTATAGTATCCAGTTGCCAAACGCACGGTTGGCGCGGTGGCTGGGCAACTGGCTGACGTGCGACGTATCGCAGGTTCGATTCCCGCAAGGAGAAACATTTGTGTGATCCACAAATTGTTGTTTCGGGTCTAGGTGTCATGTGTATGTGAAATTGTATGTTTGTAAACGCACCCACAACACAGGAGAAAATCCTCGTCTCCACATATAACATGCATAGCATCCAGTTGCCAAACCACTGCACCAACCGTGCAATCAACTACACGGTTACCTACGGACATAGATACTAACAAACAACTATAAAATATACTAAGATACCATATTATTTCTTTCAGATGCCGAATCCTTGGATCCCTACTTATTAGAAGGATCGGAAGCAGTAGCAGCAGTCAAGCGGGCAAGTCGCCATGGTCTATACTACTTCCACGATATACCTCATATAGAGTCACTGCTCGCCAACCAGGAACAAAGAATCGAGAATAATTTGAAACCTCATAGAATAGGTAGCATACGTCACACGTGGCCTTACAACCGACCTTAGCATTCCCTCGACCGACCAATAAAACAATACGTATAAAATTGCAATTATTATTATATTTGTATACAACAATAAAAATACTCAATAAAAAAGTCATTAATATTATACACAACTAAGTCTGTTGAGTTTTATTTCATATTTACAAACCAATATCATTCATCATTCAAATACCTACCTACCACTGACGTGCTTATTCGACGAATGGATAATATAATTGAATCAAATATATACAAATATTAGATACATTCCTTAAACACCCTGTACTAGTTACATAAAATATCAACTTGTAATACAGACATTCTTCAGTTGAGATTTAGCAAAAATATGTTTTATAAAGTACTTCATTATATACCTAGTAAAATTACAAAAATAAAATATAAAGGAGATTCTTTCCAAGTTATAAAATCTAATGTTTTCTACCTTGTATTGACACAAAAACTCTAACAGTAAAGTTACTAATTACTAAATTTTATCAGTTAATAATTGGAATGTAGGTATCATTATGAATAAAATATCTATTCGTTTTTATCTTTCTACCTTAATTACCTACAGCTACCATTATTACACACATCATTATTGAAATATAAGTTATATAAAATACAACACGTATTTTACAAGGCAGTGATTGTATTGAACACATTTATACAATTTAAGTACTAAAAACCTCAGAGGTTATAAGTAAATTGAGTATTGCTTTTTATATATATTATAAGTTTATTACTTATACATATTTATTTAAGACTTAGTCACTCAGTATGGTTGTATGAAGCTAGTAAAATGACAATAGTTTATAGAATTTTAAATATATATAAATTTGCATATACAAAATCAAATAGCAACAAAATTTAGTTGAAAGTTTTAAGTAGTTTAAAGGAACAATATTAACTTTAAATAATAAATAAACTGAATTACCTATAACATCTTAAAAAATTCAACTTATTGAAAATATCGTGAATTAATTAAGAAAAGCTGTACTAGTTGGAAGCCACAATGGAACTCTTATTCATAAGCCGTGTGCGAGTCGCGGCAACATCTTGTTAAAAAATAAATCGTTTCTTCAATGAATTTAGTATATCACACAACAGTTACTATTCAAAAACCATAAAATTATTTGAATATTTCATTAATATTATTTAACAATTTTAGATTTCAAAAATAAAGTAACAGATCTAGTATGTTTTCGTTTCAAGTGACTGAATATAATTAAAGTAGAATTTAACCCATGATATACCAGAGAGCACATCTATGCGAGACACAATGTGTTTTCTATTTTGTATTGCATGCCGCAAGACAAAAGATTAAAATAAATACTATAATTGGACGGAATAGTAAACATAAAAGTATTTATTTGATTTAACATCTAATCATTTTTGTGATATAATATTTAATACTAGTGATATTGCTAGACTAAGCTCTTGTAGAGCTGGTAAATAGTGACCTAGAATTCATTCAAATATTATTGTCAGTAATGATGTTCTATATATTTTTTCATGCTATTCTAGCATTGCTGACTTTTTTTAAGCTGATGGTAAGCATTTTATTCTAACAGTACAAGTGTTTTAATGTCACACCTACGAAGTGTAGACAATAAGGTGACATTATTTATCACAAAGTCTTTTGAGTCAGTTTTTAAATGAAATAATTAAATATAGGTATTAAAACCACTACCATAAGCATGAGTGGGTAGGTCGAGACTCCAGTTGCAGCATTGCAGAGGTCACCATTGCAGAAACACATGTAAACCTTCTTGCGATTCCACATTGTATAAGCACATCTTTCTTCATAATCACTTGGGGGTCTTTGGAGGCACATCCTTTCAGTTGCAGTGCCATAATCTGTAAAATAAATATTTTATATGTATAAAACAGTTCAAATAGATAACGAAAGGTCCTGACTGTTACTTTAATTATACCTTATTTTTGGTTTATACAATTCTATTTCTCATATACTTATTAATTAAGACAAAACTGTAAGTATTCCTTTCATTGCCTGTCCTTTTGTTAAAAACAAATTTTCTTATGTATCATTAATAATCGTTAAGCTTACCGTCAGTCCGAAATGCTCCCACAGTGCCTTCAAGCAACTTGCCACACCATCCCGAGGGACAGGCCACAACATGAAGCCCTTGTTCTACTATGGTTTCAGTCACATTTATAGGAAAGGGATCCCCACATGTTCCCAGATCTCCTCGTGATCTACATCTTATGCAACGTTTATGTAAACCTGTAAGAAAAGAAATTCAAATGACAAATACTAAACTTTCTAATTTCAACTAACCAATGCAATACTGTGATAATTAGGCTTCAAATGAAAATTTTAAGTAACAATGTGCCAGAACCACCCTTTAACTTACACTACATACATTTCTAAGCAGCTATTGTTAAACAACTCTCACTTTACCTTGATAAATAAAGTCGTGTCAAAAAGAATGTGCAAAACTTACTTTGAACTTCCTGTACCAAGATTATGAATAACGTGCACAAAAACAGGTTACTATAGTTCATTTTGTATTATAATATAGCTACCAAAAAATATATAACATCAATAATGATCAAGTTTGAAAACTTTTCATCATAAAATGTACCAACTACAAAGTTTCATTCACAAAAATATACACTCACAACCGCAGGTTACGCGTCAGCTGTCACACTGCAAGTGACAGCAGACTGTCTGACAGAAAAGACAGAGACAGACAAAATTTCATCAAGACTCATAGGTAATTTATCAGTCATTTCATTATTAAATTAATGATTTTTGTAATCATCATTATCTGTTAAGACTGTTGATATTCATTTGCTTTATTTACTCTACTTTACATTTCCCTTGTTGGTCCAGAGAGATGACATTAATTTGACTCGCATTATTCCAATAAGGCTAAATTGCGAATCTCGATAAAGGCTGATAAAGGTAACGACAAAAATATGGTCGGTAATACGTGAATTCTCGCGATTTTTCAGATCTCTCGCGTAGCCTTACAAGCGCTTTGTAGAGCCCCGAAATTTAGCGAAGCACACCTTAAGTATTGGATTGGACCCATTAGATAGTCAATATTCGTTTCATTTCTTTCTTTCTGTGCGTCATGCAATCCAGCAAAACTCAGAACTTATACAGTTACGTAATAAAAATCATAACATAAAACCATGGATTACGCCTGGCCTTATCAGGTGTATGAAACATAGAGACAAACTGCACACTAAAGCCAGACGTGATCCAGGCAATATGGATCTACAATTATCTTATAAGCGATACAGAAATTTTTGTAATGATCTGCTTAAAAAAGTTAAAAGTAACTACGATAAAAAATACACTAGAAAAGGCTGGCACAAATAGTAAACAAATCTGGAAATGCATTAAAAACATAACATACACTTCCAAACAAAGTGAGTCATCCTCAGGTTTATTAGAAGGATATTCGACACCGCATGCGGCCGCTAATATGACTAATAACTTTTTTGCTAATGTTGGCAAAAGTCTGGCAGAAAAAATCCAGGGACAGGTTTCTCAACCAAGTACTCCAAAGAAGTGCACCCCCTTAACATCCTTTGCAATGATAAACACTGACGAGACTGAGATTAACAATATAATTATGACCTTAAAAGATGACAGTGCTGCTGGCTGGGACAATATCTCCAACAAAATCTTGAAACAATTTAGATACATTTTGATTCCACCTCTGACCTATGTTTTCCGCCTATGTTTATCATCAGGTGTCTTTCCCGCGTGTCTTAAAAAGTCCGTTATTATTCCAGTATATAAAACAGGCAGTAAAGAGGAAGTAAAAAACTATAGACCTATCTCTCTGCTGCCATCTATGTCTAAAATACTGGAAAAAATAATAAACATTAGACTTCTCAAATATCTGGAGGATAGATCAATTCTATCGGAGCGGCAATATGGGTTTAGACCGAGACTATCAACAGCTGACGCGGTACACTATGTGACTGACTATATAACGCAAGAACTTGACAAGGGTAACCACACTTTGGGAGTTTTTCTGGACCTCGCCAGGGCTTTTGACACAATTTCTGTTCCTGTGCTGTTGCGCAAGCTGGAGACTATTGGTATAAGAGGAACTCAGCTCAAACTTTTTCAAAGTTATTTAGAAGACCGCACTCAGTGCGTAAGAATTGGTAAGGTCGTCAGCGATGATATAAAAACTACCCCTTACGGTGTGCCCCAGGGGAGCATACTATCATCTACGATGTTTTTAATTTACATAAATGATTTATGCAATCTCAATCTGGAACACGGTACGATTGTATCATACGCTGACGACACCGCTCTACTATTTTCAGCTGACTCGGAAACCGATGTCTACAGGCTTGCGCAAAACGGTTTTAATAATGTAAATAATTGGCTTCGTTGTAACTCACTGACATTAAACACAGATAAAACGCACTTCATCAAATTTTCAATACGAAAAGAAAAATCAAGTATTGTCTCACCATTGCATGCCCATTACTGTAACATTCCCAACCAATGCTTGTGCCCTATCATTAACCGGGCCACTCATGTTAAATACCTCGGCATTATATTGGACGAAACTCTCTCTTTTAAACGGCATCTGGATGTATTAAATACTAGACTGCGTAAGCTTATATTTATTTTCAAAAAGCTACGCTATGTTGCTGATCCGAAAATAATCAGACAGGTTTACTTCGCCCTATGCCAATCAATATTGACCTACTGTATCACCTCTTGGGGTGGTACAGACAAGACTCTATTGTTATCTACCGAAAGAGCTCAAAGAGCTGTCCTCAAGGTGTCTACTGGTCGCTCTTTCCTCTACCCTACTAATCTTCTTTACAAATCTTGTAATGTACTAACAGTTCGCCAGCTATTTATAATGAGCACTATACTTAAACAACATTCAACCCTTCCCTACAATCCCGAATTAATTACTAGAAGAAGGAAAGATATCGTTTGCCCAGCAAAAAGTACAAAACACACTTTTATAACAAAATTTTTTGTATTCCTCGGACCTTTCCTATACAACAAACTGAATGCGACTTTATCCTTTTACTCCTACAATCTCCATACCTGTAAAAAAATCCTCATCGAAGCACTTCAGGACATGTCCTATGAAGACACAGAGAAGTTATTATTAGTTCCTAAATAACTGTAGTAAAGGTTTTTATTTACATTTATTTTTTATTTATGGTTTAATTTTTATTTAATTAAACATACAACAGATATAGAATTTAAGTATCGTTTTATCCTGTTATTTTTAATATAAATAGTATCATTATTTCCTTAATTTAAAAACACTTATGTACTTATGATTATTTAACAATGTATAATATCTTTTTACCCATTTTCGCCTGAAACACAGGTTGTCCTAGTTCAGGCACCCAATATTATGAACTTGGTATAGCTTTAAGCAAAACTGTATATTCCAGATTATGTGTTCTTCAATAAATTTTATTTTATTATTATTATTTATTTAAGGTAATCAATGAAATCAAGTACATAATTATTACATTATTTATTTTAGTAAACTCTCTCTTTCACATTGAAAACGGTGGTATTCATATCCTTTCCTGTTTTTATTTAGTGGATCCACAAACGATGCTCTTCGGTGAAAAGCAATACATACTCCTGCACAGTAACATGCCATCGCCAGAGAAAGTACAAATCCTAAATAAATTGAATATCGAATAAATTCTGGAACAAAATATGTATGCGATAGTAGTAGATAGGTAGTTTAGGTTTCCAAAGCGTCTAAGCTAAGGTGACTGTGAAAATACTTTTTATCCATTTATAATTTTAATACCTACTTATGAACTTACAAAAAACTAAACACATACTTACGTCTACTACTTAAATGCTATATATAAATATGTAGGTAGGTAGTTTGTTAATATAACTAACTAAATATGAAACTTACATTGTCAACATTTACAAAATAACTTTAAAAAAAGTACTAGGCATAAACAACAAAATAAAAAAAAACGAAGGAATTAAGTAACGACATTGAACCCTCATTGGTTAGACCCCTCTTTGAGAAGTGGCTTGAGAGACTCTACGGCGTCTTCACTTTCCGCCTAACGCAGATGCTTACCGGGCACGGCAGCTTTGGTAGGTTCCTGTTTCGGACCCGGCAGGAGGATACGCCCGAGTGTGGTCACTGTGAGGACCACCCAGAGATACGGACACAGTAGAGCATACGGTGGCGGTGTGCCCGTCTTGGCTGAGCACTGCCGTGTCCTCAGGGAAGTGATCGGCGGCGGCGATCTCTCGCGCCTGGCCTTAGCCGAGGCCATGGTGCAGAGCGAGAGGAACTGGGACGCCGACTCCTGCTGCCCCTGCCTCCTGCTACTCCTGCTTCATAGATGAAGCAGTTATGCTCGCAAAGAGGGAGGCGGACCGCGTGAGGGAGCAATCCTCCTACTCACGCCCCAGCCGCCGCAGCAGGTGACACTCCGGGCGTCGGGATCAAGAGACGATCTCCGGTCACCGTAAGCGCGGGTCTGCGGTCGGCGAGTAAGGGGAGCTCGGTAGCGTTCCGCGCGCGCCTCAAAGAGCCAATAGACCACCATAGACGGGGCCCTATAGGGCTGATGTTCACACGGGGTTGCGGGGTAAGCGAAATGAGGCACTGTGACCTCGGCCCAGAGCAGGAAAAAAATATAAAAAAAGATACCGACGAATTGAGAACCTCCTCCTTTTTTTGAAGTCGGTTAAAAACACGGGTTAAAAAGATACACTTAGTGCGTAAGTCACCTTGATTTAGCAGCTTCGACTTTGATACGACTTTTATTTCGAATTCTTGAACTTTTTTGTCATCTGTTTGACAAGAGTAATTACCTTCCTCTTTTTTAGTGATGTGTAAAATATGGAGTGAATTATTAGTGTCGACGGTTATATGAGATTCCTCTTCATTTTTGCATTTTTTATTTCTGGAAAGTGTTTTTATATATATTTTAAATCTTATAAAATGGGATAGTATATTTGATAAAGTTTATTTGTTATTAGGTATTATAACTTAGTCTAGTACATACCTGAATAGAGAATTTAGTAATTTCGTATCTTTGAACCATTTCAATTCAGAATTTGGACTTGCTTCAGTACATGTAAGAGTTACGTGACCATTTTCTTCAACTTGTTTCATGGTTTTATTCTTATGTTTAGATTTAGAAACCTTATGCTTTGCTAAAAATAACAGAAGATAATCAGTTTATATTATTCCAATATCATATCATGAATAAAAAAGAATGATTACCAGTTCTTTTTGTAAAATTGCAGGCTTGCTCTTCTTCAAATTCTGGAATATTCCTAATGATTTCACTCAATTTTGGAGCTGTTTTATTAAGCTCAATTGAGCGACACGCTATATCAAAGCCATCTGATAAAATAGACTTCGCATTTTTAACATTGGTCTCTATTTGCTTTATCTAAAAATTATTTTAAGACATTGAGAAAAACGACTTACTAAACTTTAACAAAGGTTAAGTACATATTTGTTTAATCTGCGTGATCTGCACATACCCCAAAATTATAGTCGTAGTTTTTCCTAATTTCATTAGGCTGTAAACGACATCTACCTAGTCTTTTTCGGACACCTTTCTGGTGGTCAATTTCTTTACATTCACCCCAATTATCCCAAACAGTTGTCAAATTAAAAGTTTTGTTAAAAACGTTTCGTATTGACCTGAAGGGTTCTTCTTTAGATTCT